CGCGGCCCACCGGGCATTTGCCCAGTTTGCATGATGGCCTGCCTGACACTGTGTAATTTAGATCTAATTTCCATTATAGAGAAAGTGCTGCTGTATGTATAAAGGATTTATAGTAATGCAATGTAGTACAGTGAGCTGTTAAACTTTGAAATCAAAGAAAAACAAGCTCACGTGACACGAATCAAAATGGCATGTCATGTGACTTTATAAAATTACTATTGTTTTAATAGATATAACCCTAGCAGGGGCAAAGAAAGTAAGAGATTGTTTTGCAGGCCATAAACAGCATCCATGTCAGTGGCAGAACTAATGTAGAGAGGACCCTAGTGCAAGAAATTGTTTTAGGGCTTCCTCTAGCGCAAGGGTGGCCAAAAGGTAGATCCCCATCTGTAGTACAACTCCCACAATGCTATGCCAGCTGGAGATCCACCAATTCCCAATTCATTGCTTCTATGAAGCATATATTTCATGTCACCACCCTTCATGATTTTTGGCATCATAAGTACCCTTCATGATTTTTGGCATTTTTGAATTGCGGTGACCTTTCAAACTTTAAGGTTATTTTTGTGCATATCAAAGAGTGATTTTTTTGAAGCCTTTAGTTATGTTACAGCAGTGCTCCCCTGTACGGATTGTTAAACATCTTGATGTCATACCCACATATTGGAGCCCACCGGGGCACTTTAATGAATATATGTCATTTTTGGGATTGCATGCATTAAAATCCTTAATTTTATGTCTATTTTGTTCTGTTTGATGTGGATGTAACGGTTACTCAGAGTGAGAAAGGGGTATTTACCGCCAGAGACGTCTGTTTCCCTTAGTCAGAGCAGCGCTGCAGTATTCCTCCATGGACCTCTAAGCCGACCTGTAATTCCTAATAGCTGTAAAGATCTTAAAAGAGCTAGTAGTGAACTGAATTTTAATGGTGCCACACTGGCCTTTTATGCAAGTACCCATGCAAGGGGAACACCCACATGAACATTGTGGGGGACAGGATGACAAGTGTTACAAGCCAATGATAATGCAATACAGTAGGTGACCTTCCCACACATTAAACACAATCCCTCCCCTCATCCTGGGAGATAATTGAGTAACTCAATTATCTACAGGCAGATAAAGACATATAAAGTATCATAAGTACCCCAAAACACAACATTCCCCCATAACATCCACTGATAGCCCTGATTTGGGTGAACTACATATCCAAAAATCACCCAGGTCAGAGCAGGGGTTCAGGAAATTCCTGGAAGTCTCTTTTTGACAGACCGCACGCATGGTTTCATGCCCAAAACAGTTCCAGAGAATCAGGCTGTGCGGCCAATCTATTTCAAACAGTCGAAATACCATTTGAATTACCAAACATAGTGGTTGATAAACATAGTTAGTATGAGTCCCTTGTTCATGGGCTTCGACTCACCAAATGCCGTTCGACTCCCATTCGAATAGCCGAAGTTCCATGGAAGGTAACTGTTCAGCGGTGTTCATGCCGTCACGTGTCCGATTTAAGTTCCATGAACTCGGCGATAAAACACAGCTGAACACGTTTGACTAAACAAGATGGCTGGCGCCACTTGTTCAACTATATGAACGGTGACCACCCAGCCGTTCATCAATTTGGCTTGGGTAACTACCAGCCTGGGAGGTAAATAGGCTGCACACTCCACTTGTGTGTGGTCCGGCTGTTAGGTAGCTCGAAGATGCACTTCGAACCACTTCGAAAGTATGATGTACCATTGTCCAAAGTCCCAATGGGCACAAATAGTGTCTCTTAACCACAGTAAATTAAAGGTGACATAGTCACAGGGTAAAAGGCTGTCAAGTAGTCCCCTACAAACCCCAGTGGCGAAGTGGCTTTCGCCACAGTGGAATTGGTAACATTTTTATTAGATAAAAATGTTGTGTCACCTTTTCAAGTGTAATTCTTAGTGAGGCAGGTTGTTGTTTTTTTTTATATCATCTTTATTAAAGTTTTTTTGTTTTTTTCCAAATATAGAAACATACACAGGAAAACACATGTCCACATAAAAACATTACATACAAAAAATATAAACAGTAAGCAACTCGTGCAAATGGTTGTTACGTTGAAATATATCACACAAAAATACAAATTCTTCTGTGTCGAAGGGGAAAGGTAACCCGGTAAAAAAAATACTTCAAGGGCTTTAATTTAGTTCAATCTCACTAAACCTTTCTGGTGGATTGTACTGCCACATATTGTGTCTTCTTGGGGCGTTCAAAAAAAAGCAATACTTAAATTTTCATCTTTAGCTGTAAAAGTAATTGAGCTTCAATTAATTCCCATGGTAATTCCCGTGCTTGTTTCCAATTATGTGCTAATGTGATCTTGTAGGTAATAAAACAATAAATAAGAAACCTCTTATGCTTACATGTCATATTGGGCCAATGCATATGTAATAATGCAGTTTGAGTAGTCCTCTCTATTATTATGGTGGTCTTAATACAAATATAAATATCTAAATAAATATATATATATATATATATATATATATATATATATATATATATATATATATACATATATATATATATATATATATATATATATATATTAATAGTTAATGCAATGTTAAATACACACACCAGGCAAGCCATAAGACTTGCTTTTACCACAGAAATATCATTTTAACAGTGCTCTCACTACTGCAAGGGATTCTGGGTAGGCGTATGCAAATGAGCTCAACAAAGAACAACATTTTTGCCTCATAATTCCACTTTATACAAGGAATCCATGTATAAAGTGGAATTATGAGGCAAAAATGTGGTTCTTTGTTGAGTTCATTTGCATACACCTACCCAGAATCCCCTGCAGTAGTGAGAGCACTGTTAAAATGAGATTTCTGTGGTAAAAGCAAGTCTTATGGCTTGCCTGGTGTGTGTATTTGTGTTTAACATTACATTAACTATCCACTTATTTCAGGTGGAAGGGGTTTTCATCCATACTTTTTCCCCACCACTAGTATAGTTATTTATTTAAAAAGAGCATCTAAAACTTTCTGAATAAATGCACAGCTCCACCAAATAGGTAAGTACCTTCTTTAAACCCACAATGCCAGGGAGATGCACTCTGGTACATCTGTGCTAGTCTGGTCAGAACAAGATACCACTTATTTATAACTTTATAGTGGGTTTCACCTAGATTCAAACACTGAACCTGTTTACGAGTGATGTTAAGAGCTTTACACCATTCTCAATGGTCTAGTTCACAGTTAAGCTATTTTTTTTTCAATTGTGTCTTCTGGGCAGAGTAATTTATAGTTCTAATTAAGTCTATTGCTTTTGCTAGTATCTTTGGGACAACTTCATTAGAGAGAATCTTCTTTAATGCCTTAGAAACATTTTTATTTGCTTGAATCAGATGTTTTAGAAGAAAGATTTCAGAGTTTGGTAGTTGGAATTTGTGGGCCAATGATTGAAAGGCTTTCAAATTGCCTTGATATAATAGTTGGTCCATTATACCCCAATTTATCAATCTAGTTTGCATAAGATTGGGTATATTAGATTCAATTACAGAGAGCTTTAGACAATCTAAAACATAGTGTTGTATCCCCAATCGCCTTTTAATCTTTTCCCACCACCTGATGCAGGTTTTAAGACTCAGAGCACCCTTTAAATATAATAGTAGGTTTCTGAGGGATAATGGTTTTCAGCATGTCATCTCAGCCAGCCCTGAAATGCATGTTTCTACGCAAACATTAAAAAAACCCTACCCTAGCATGCACTTTGATCCCTATCATACAAAACAAAAATAACTGATTGAAAAATAGTTCTGGAGTGTGTTTTAGAAAATAATGCAATCTCATGGTTCCTGATGCATTCTGAACCACAACACGCACCATGTTCCCTTATATACAAATGAAAAAAGTCATAAAAAATTACTTGTTCTGTGTCTAGGAAACTTAAACATCTGTCATGACAATCCTAACTAGTGGGTTTAGTCACAAATAGAGTTTACTAAAGTCTGCATGCCCCTGGTCCAGATTATCAAACATAAAACAGTACTATACAGGGACATTTAAAATGCAAAATGCAGACATTGTTCTTACGGTGTATGAATGTCCTTATTTATTAATGCCTCAGAATTAGACTTACAGGGTTGTTTTTTTAAAAAAAAATGAGAATTCAAAGTGAATTCATAGGGATTTACAGATTTAAGGCAAGGGCAGCCAAACTAGAAAAAAATCAACTATGATTTTAGTTCAGCTATTGTGACTTTAAATTTGAAATTCACTTTGAATCAACTCACATTGCAACTCAATATAGTGAATAATACTATAAATGTGGTCTGGATTTTCATCTGTCTGGATGCAACACATTATGGAAATGAAAAAAGCAAAGGCCATCAATTTAGAATGATAAACTTTTAAAATGATTTAATATTATGAAACCTATTTTAATGTTGTGATAGTTTGATAGTTTTTTTTAAATATTGATATATGTTTTTAAATATGATAATTGTTTTAAATTCTTTATTTTTCTGTGCAATTAGATTAAAGGCATAAGTAAAGTGCCACAACAGCACACAGAGATTAAACAACAAAGATTTTGACTGGGCACATATAGGCTGCACATTTTTATATTATTATGTTTAAACAAGCTAGACTGGCATGTCTACTTCAGCGTTGGCAGCGTGGTAACAATTAGGCAAAAAAAGGTAAACATGTGCGTGATATTCTATATAAAAAGGTAAACATGTGCGTGATATTCTATATAATGTTCGTCGCTTTACATTGCTGCACATTGTCCTTTCCTTAGAATAAATGGAAGAACAGAATAAGAGCTTCAGAAGCACATTTCTATCTAATGGACTGAGAGAGAAACAGACATGCATAATACAGAAATGTACTTAGTTACTTTCACAAAATTTTATATTTAGGGTGTTATGGAATGTTAAACGTAAGATGTAGCAGGCGCTTAATGGATGAGTGTATGCATATTTCTGAGTAGGCAGACGTTTCATTACACTAGATTATTAGCTTGAAGACGACAACAGGAGATAGTAGCAGTCAGCTGAGAATATATTTTAGGATTTTTCACCCCAGGCGGCCCCTGCTCCAGCAAGATGGCAGTCCATGGCTGTGTACCGGGAGACCCACCTGGACAAGGTAGTAGAGAGGGGCAAAGGTTTGGGACCTGCTGCAATAGATGTGGTCAAGGTGGGTGAGAGCGTGGTAGTCCCCATGCGGTTGACTTATGTTGCAGTCGAGTGCCCGCCATGGGCAGGGTACAGTTCCTAATATCCTTGCCGATCTTCGGGTGCAATACCGCAGCTGCTGGCAGTCGGTCCCTGCATGTCAGACCCCGTGCGGTGATTTGGGAGATTTGGTATGTGAGGCTAGGACACTGGAGAGGTGTTTCCTTCTGTGGGTTGTGCACCTGGACATGCTTGAGTGGAAAATTGCAGGTGCCAACCTCCGCTGGGCGCTTGTAATGCTGTTTGCATTGGCGTGGTGTGCCTCTGGCTTCTCCGCCACAATCTCGGGGCCGGCCCCCGGATTCCATGTGGGGTCTTAGTAAGTATTTGCCAGTTCCCGTGCAGCCTGCACCGCAGTCCGCCAGTGTGGAGCCAGGTGGGGGAGTCGGTCTTCTCTCCTGTGTAGGTGGCTCGCCATGCGGTCTCCGCCATTTTGGATGAGGCCTTTTAGCCCTAGGTCGGCCCTGCTGTAGTTCAGAGTGCTGGTGACTTTGCACATCCAGGGGCCACCTTGTGGGGACCGTGATCACCCCCACCGGTCCAGAGGGGGGGGGGGGGCAGGACCACCCAGCCTTGTGCTGCTGGCATGCCGCTGGGAGGCAGGATAGCAGGGCAGCGGCCGTCCACCCCACTCACCGCCCGAGCGATCCCCATCTTAGGAAGACGGAGAGCACCCCTCCGAGGGACTAAAACTTCTCAGCAAGCCTCTCCTCAGAACCAGGATGTCTGCTTGCACTGGGTCACAGCTGCCAGTCATCAAGTAAGTATTTAGTCGATGTTTTGGGGCTGGAAATAGTAAAGATTGCAGGAGCTGTTCTTTTGTGTGACCGTTCAGCATGGCGGTCCGGCCCCGCCCCCGATAATTGTTTAGACATTTTTATTATTTTGAAAAAGTCATTTTAAAAGTTTAGACAAGAATAATTAATCATTTGAAAAGCTTATCCAACAATATTAAATGATTCAACAGAAATTGCCAAATACACACTTTGACCGAAACAAGTTTGCCGGCAGAAAGAGTATAATTTTAAAACAAGCTAAGGCACTGCAAAATTTGTTTATATAACTAACTTCTAGGGATAAAGGGTTAAATCTATAGAGGGGTACTTTATAAGCTAGTAATTACAACATAAAAAATTTAGGTTTGAAATGCATAATATATGATTCAAAATGTGAATTTAATCAATTTGTCTTCTACTATATTTTTTATTCTTGCCTTCTACTTTGTCTTAGATCGGGTTGAATCAGGTTGAAATTCAGTGTTTAATTAATATATGCATCCAATATTTTATAGAGAATTCATATGTGAGAATAGTAGATTCTAAAAAATTCCCAAGCTCAGTTTAGTAGACATGTCATGTCACATGAGACGTTTAATTTGTCTCTGATCACCTGCAGCCCGGTTTGGAAAATGCGCCATGAACGAGTGTCTAACTACTCTCTCTCTACTACTTAAAAGTTAAAATCAGGGCTATTTAATCCAACGGGCAAACGTTAAATCAGCAGTTGATGTGATTGGTTGGTCAGCTGGGCAGTCTGGACATGCCCCCTTTGGGGGAGGGACATTGTACGTGATGAGATTGATGTACTCATACATTGATAGTAGACATAAGGTAAAACATCACATCCAAACAAACAGCAAGGTATGCAGCAAAACTGAAAGGATAGCCCAGTTGTCCTTTCCTGGTGAAGATAAAATGATTATGTCCTGAAAAGCAGCAACATGTCTACCCTATATGAGCATATTTAGTAAGCATTCTTTACAAATAGTTGACCACTCTTGTGTTTATATCTCTAGTCTTTATGACAAGAGAATCCTTAAGTTTTGACTTCTCTAGTCAGTAAGACTACAGCTACGTAGGATGTGTGCAGGTGGTCGCATAGCCATACTCTCCTTAAAGAAAAGGCAAGATCCGGGGGTGGGAAATTTTATTTCTGTCCCTAAACTCCTAAACTTTCCCATTTTGTCCCTAAACTCCTATAATCAAGTTGTTATAGAAAAATGAAAGGCCTATGACACAAACAGAAGAAAGGGGGCCTTTACCAAGCAGGACATTCAGTATCATTGAGGAGGCTGCATGCCTAAAGGTGTATAGGTACTTTGTAGGTATTATATTTGTGTGTCTGAGTTTGTGTAGATGTGTTAAGACACCTCCCGTGTCTTTAAGCCAAACCGCCGTTTAGTAAACCTTCCCCGGCTGCAGTACAGTCTCTGTTCGCTTACTCTGTAACCCACGAACCAAATGCAGGGGAAGCGACAATCTCCCGATCGAAATCCACGAACGGCTCCAAACTCCCGAACGGCAATATACGAACTGCTAGGAACCGTCGAACAATAATATCCCCAAAGCGGCTTTCGTTCCATCCAGCAGTCTCTAAACGTGAAGAAGAAATCCCCCCAATAACGAGACAGAAGCTCCGCATTGAGGGTCAAATAAGATCTGGTTTTACTGTGGGCTACCTGCCCGTATTTATGCAGGTCTCCCACCTGGTGGACACTCCCCAAGGGGACCAAATGGAAGACTTAAATTACAGACAGATAGAAGGACATTTCTGACACACAGTCACATCTCTTACCCACAGTGCATTCTGATTCCCTCCCCTCTGTCCTGGAGTTAATTACCAAGTAACTCAATTAACTCCAGGACAAGGACAGTCGCCATTTTAAACATAAAATAATAAAAGACATAAAAATGCATAACTACATGAAAACTGAACATTTCCCATTCGTATTACATGTCCCCAGATAGCCTGGATCTGAGTGCATATTATTAGCGAATAGCGCTCAGATCCCACACACATAGTTCAATCGCCATGGAGTCAAAGTTCTTACAGTCTTTCGGTATACGAATGACTCCATGGGAGGGCTATCTGGGTTAAGTCTTTTGTATGCTCTCAATCTCCCGAACGGCCGGTGTTCGCATGCTTTCGTGGAGGCAGCCAGGCGTTCCCTTGTTTCAGCGGTGTTCGGCAGAAAAAGTGTCCGTTTTCAGTTCCATAGAAATAGAGCCAAACACCGCTGAGCGTTCGCATGATTTAAAATGGCCGCTGCCTCGTGGTCGACATACGAACGACGACCACCCTGAGTTCGGTTTAATTGAGAAGTGTCTGCGGTTAACCACAACGTTATAATGGTGATCACTTCGTTAACCTGCAGCACACTCCTCACTTGGGTGGCCGTTCGTTCGGCGGTTTTGTTCGGGAAAAAGAGTCATTCGAATGGCTGGGCTATAGAAACCAGCCATTCATACGAACGGGGACAAACAGACGAACGGGCAAAAATCCAGCAGACAGATGGTTCTGTCACAAGATGTATCAATAATTCAGCAGTGCTGCTCCCAATTTGGGTTCGGCATAGATAAAGCTGTAACAATCATTGGCACCCCACAATTCCTATCATGCTCTCCTTTGTAAATTCAAGGACACAGTGTTACTAGAGTTGGAAGCAATTTTCAGGTAGTTATATTTTTAATACCTACAATTGATGGCAATTTCTCCTATGACTGACAGCACCCCTTTAAGGAATATGTATGTGACTAAGTGTGAGAAGGTAATCACATTAAAGGCAGTTAATGCTTGATTGGAAAGCAACCCCTAAGGGACATTGGTTAATAATCCTTTTAAATTCTTATGTCAGAATTCTTTACAAATCACCAGCCTAAGTCAATCTGTTTTCCCTCAACGCAATGAATAAATGTTAATTCCAATTAGGAATTGTGTCTGTGTAATGCTAATTGTCATTTTAATTTGTTGATACCATTTGGTTGAAAAGAGGGAAATAAACTATACTTGGCAGATCTTCAGAAATTCTAGATCTTACTTTGTCCCTTGCAGTTTGGCACATTTGATTCTGAAGATTAAGCAGTAAGTCAGTAGAAAATAATGACTTGTTTGAAACAGAAATCAAAATCGTAACTGTACAGATCCACACATCGGAAGAGTCCGTGCCAAAACCACCCCAAATACTTTAAAATAAAATATAGATGTAAAAAACATGTTTTTGACTTCCAGGCCATTAGTAAGGCCCTGGAAATGTAACTTAAAAAAAAAAAAAAATTCTGTTGACTATAGAACTCTAGCTGCAAATGAGTCATGTCGATATCTCAAAATCTAGGCTCTTCATTTAACAATGCCTGCTGGTTAGACTCTGTTAAGTCTAGGTGGTGGGGTTCATTTTAGAATTTCTATGAATTCTTAATTTTTTCAGGTAGAGGTTGAAAGTAGTTCCCAGCTGTTTGTGGAATTGGTGCACTCCAGTCGTGATATCCATTAACTAATTGTAATTGTTTGTGACAATTTCAAGCCGTCCCTGCCAGAATGCGTGAAGAATTATTTAAACGCAAGAAAGGACAGAATGCAAATATCCATCTTAAAATGTTTCACTCCTAACCTTAATTGGAAGCACATTTCACTGCGTCCTCGAGGACATTGCTTACCTGTTCTGGCAAGCAGAAGCCAGAAGACTTTATATCGGTACTATTTAGTTTAAGGGTAGACTGTATCATTTGGTAGTCTAGTTTGCCACCTTTGTTATTGCTACATAGACTACATGTGCTCAAAGTTGTTCAGTCAAAGTTGATCAGGCTGTTCAGTCCTGCGACTGCTGTTTTTATTTTATTGTGTTTTTAAGTATTGTTGATGTTGTTTTCTTGCCCTAGAGACGACCTTGGGACATGTCACAGCGCAGGCGATCGCATTGTGACGTGCTCACACTGGCGCAGCTTCCTGCATGCTTTCCGGTCTGGGCGCCCTATGAACAACTTGCATCTAGATGGGATGAGTTTATGCATTATTGTTTATGGTATAAAATGCCTGGAGATGTATATTAATGCTTATCCTGATGAAAATTTGTTAGAAAGTTTGTTAGACCAAACTGAAAACATCAATATTTTTCTTTTTGAGCAATAAAAGTTGTTTTATTTTTGGTGACAAACACCAGGCAATGAACTGTAGAATACAAAGAATGCAGGATTGTTTGGATTATATTTATATATAATATTGTGGACTTATATATATTGTGC